TGCTTTTTATTGTTGTAGCGCCTTGAGCGTATCAAGAAATAAAATGAAATGAAAAAAACGGCATTATTCTCTAGACAACCGAATAGAACGATAATATCTAAGAAGAAACTCGTGTTCTGTCATATGCTTCAATTAATTATGCCTTTACCTCAGTTTTATCATCTCGATCGGGCCACAGCACTTATCATCAGCTGAGCACAGTAAAATTTGCCGCCTACTTTAGAATTTACTCAAGGAATTCTTATCTTTGTTAATAGCGTATTAATCAGTCTACTTGAAAGTTGTTCAGACTGACCTTGACAAGGTGGAATGTATCTGTATGGTGATGGCCGAAGATCATCAGGCCGATTACATCAGCATATTTGATTGTGAGATTGAGGAATTTCTCATTGTAAGGATCACGAAACCAAGAAAATCCCGGTGTTCTCTCGAAGACTGCAAAAGAGCATTTACAATGAAGTCAGAAAAGGTGCTGTTATAGATGAAACAGTGCTTGAGCAAAATTACGAATTTCGATAAAAGCAGATAAAGACATACCTCCAGGCGCAATGTGAGCAACGATGTGAACGGTCCGGGTGCAGTTGGATAACAAATATCGTCGGCAAATCAAGGCCGACGTTAATTCAGTTTCCATGAAGGCAAATTGCTCTGCTGGATCCTCTTTGTTGGTGAAATTATCGTAAGCTTGATTCGGCCTGAAAAGCTGCTCATGAGATTTGAGGTTATATAAATATGATGAATTTGCTACGCTCTACCCAAAAAGCAATTATCATCATATATCGTTTATCATCGGCTAAGGAATAATAGGGCGCGGCAAAAGTCTGGGAGCAGACTTTGCAGTGTTGTAAATTACAAAATTACTGACAATTTCCAAATTTTTGCCAAATAATGCTGTGATCATCTTCTACAAATCACATTTTGCCTAGTTAGAATCGCCTGCCATATGTTTGACTGGATTTGTCAGAGAAGTGCTTCTGCAGAGCAAGAAAGTCAAAATCGTTAGTATTCACGATTTATTTCCTAATTGAGATAATGTGAATATCCCACAACCTTTGATGCATGCAATATGGAAGAGGCTTTGTGCTATCACATACAGTAGTTGCGTTTCCAAAAACTATACTTGTATAGACTTAAATTACCACATTACCACAAACATTACCATCTTAAATGCGAAACTCTCTTAGAACTGTAATTCAAGCTAATAGTGAACAGAACTCAAGACGAAAGCTAGTTTTCTTTTGCGGTGCCTTTACTTGCTGGACCTTACCTTGCTCGAATTATCTCATTAATACAGAGCCTCTAATTTGTACAGTTTTCTAACAATAAATGTAACATGTCGCAAATGGAACTTTTCGTTTTAGGTGTTTCACGTCACAACATCACTTTAGCATCTGTTAGACCTCACGAAGTTTCTGCGTTTTCTGAAAACTAAATTACCTAAACGTTTAACTTACTTGTAGTATAGGTTTGTGTTGAGCACAAGGATGGTTGTATTGAGAAAGCGAAACTTGTAGTAGCCACCAAGAAGAAATCGATCCTGAATTTAGTTTACATGAGCGTTCCATTGAATGTGAACTACACACTGAAGTTGTTGTCTTTTGATAAGATCGTTTTCTTTGTGAAGCTTCTCTACTATTAGAAGATATAAGTGAGGTTTCTCATTCTCCAGCAAGCGACTTTCCCGAATGGCTGCTCTTCTGCTGCTGATTTCAGTCATTTCTCAAGTGAACAAAATATCAGCAGTGTATGTAGAAGGAACTAATATCACATCTCTGGTAGGTTCCGCACATTTTTCGAAAACAGCGAGACTTGAACTGCTTTAGAGGGAAAAGTGCTGGTCGAGCTGGTCGCCATGCACTGTAACATGTATTCCTATTCCGAAATCTAATGATGCCGATTTCGCTCTAAGATGGAGGATATGGTTAAGGAAAACGAAGCAATGTCGCAGAATACCACCACCAAAACAATTAACGCAATTTAAGAAATGTGGCTTGAGTGTGAGTAATTGTTGATCAGGTCATTTTGGTGACACCTAACTCAAGGAATATAATCTGGTTGAGAAATTCTACGGAAAACTGCATAGCAAGAGTATAGAATACAATTTGCTTACGAAAATTTGGGTGATGTGCAGCGGATTTCAACCCAACAGAG